TGTCATTAAAAATTAAGAAGAAGAAAGAAAAGAAGATGATTAATATAAATTAAACTGGAAAAAATATGAAGAAATGTTAATGGCAGCAAAGAAAGAAATCTCTTCATTTGCCCTCTTTCTACATTTCAGATGCAAAAGAGTGAGGCTTTTCTTTGACATTTTTCTTTACAGGCATTTGGATGAAGTTTAAAAGTCACAAACCCAGGGTAAACACATACTTGGCCAGAGTGGAGTATTTCCAAAAAAATAAAAGAGAAGAAAAGACTAAGTGTGAAGCAACTGGAAAAGTCCTCATAGGATTTTGATTCAAAAGTAATTTTGGTTGCCTTGCCTTTAAAGAAGTGAAAATTGATGAGGATTTGTTGACTTGAATCCAGCTTGCATTAGGTTGAGTATGGATGAAAAAGAAAATATAAAATACAGTAATAACAATGGAATATCCGAAGGAAAAATAAAGGAGTGTAAAGGCAAAATGAAAACTGGAATGGTATCAATACACCTAAGTATAAAAAAGGAGTAGCTTACATAAGTGATAATCTAGTGTCTGGAGCCACTGCCATAAAGTATTTTTAATAAGAATGTAAAAGACCTATTCTGAAGCCCACAGAGGTCACTCTGAGATGATGGCTCCATTCCAATGGGAGGGGGTCAGGGTCAGGTTAGTTTACAGTAGAACAGACCAGACTGCTTCTCAGTGGTTGGTAATGCAGCCGTAAACGTTATGTTTCTAACTGAGACCTGGCGGATCGGGACAGCTTAGGTTTGAGACTTTAAGCCAAAAGGAGGCAAGGCTTTGAGAGGTCATTTCTCATTGTGTGTAAACCTACAATGTTTGCCCCCGAAATACTATGTTTTCACACAAAGTCACTGCAATGGAATAGTACCTTAATGCTGTTAAGGCTGCACTTATGTGCAGTGGCATAATGCCTAAATTCAATCTGGTACAGCTGTGAAGTTTCATGTGCCTTCCTTCCTCACTATAAACTAAGTCCTTGATTCAGTGAATGAGATTTAASTGGAAGAGAAAGGGGAATGCACCAGCACTAGCTATTTCCAAGAGAAGGAGGAGAAGTGAAATCCCATTGCACAGTGGGTAACATCACATTTATCACACTTCAAGTTGGGATGTTTATCTAGAGAACTACGAGCTCATAAATCAGAAGAGTTACTCATTACATTTATTAAATTAATCATTAGATGGAAAAAATGACAGAGAGAAAAAGAGAGAGAAAGAAGAAAGCAGATGAAAAAGTCCAAAGAACAGGGTTTCATTTATTAATCTTAAGGTACTAAGTTAATCATACAACAGTGAAGCATTATTATCAGGTTTAATCCTAAAGGCTGTTTATGGCAATCATATCTAAGTCTTTGCCTAAAGTAGCAGAGCAATAATCTGATTCCGCAAAGTGGAAAATATTTGAATTTCTCCAAAAATATTCCAAACACAAAGGAAAGCTGGAGGAGTTTGGGGAGTGTAAGTATAGGCCTCTCCTGCTAAATCTCATTCAGTGGAGACCGACAGATTGAAGGTGACTTGCTTTCCAAGAAAAAGAGGAGGAGAAAAACACATTCTAATAAATGGCTGCTTTTGAAGTATGTTGTTTGTGTTATAATCTGTAATTCAGACAGTTTCTGTCACCTAGACAGTTGGGTCAAAAGGCTGTTCAGGGGGGAAAAAAAAAACAAAAAACAAAGATAGTTGATTAAGTCACCTTGCTTAGTACTCAGGCAACGACAGACTTTGTCTTTAGTTGAATAAGAGAAATTGAAAGACAGCTATCAAGTTTGAATATAAAGTTGAGGAGCATTTGGAAGCTGATGGCTGCTGAGGTCAAACTGAGCATCCCCTGTTAGGGGCTGGTGTCATAGATAGCTGCCCATTTGTATTAAATATGTTGATAACAGAAGGTTATAGTCTGCCCAGTAAGTCCTGCCCACCTCTCTGTCTTGTCATTTTTTTGTACAGTGGCAGAGTGAAAAACAATGCAGCCTGTGGGTGGCAAGCACCTAGGTTACTGTAACGTAGACCATCCTCCTCCAGAAATTCAGGGAAAACAAGATGTGGGAAAGAGTCCACGTCTACCTGGTGTCTCTGATATGCTGAGAACATCTTTTCAAAATCTTCTAGATCCAGAACTTTGAATGCCTTTAAATCATCAATCTCATTCCAGATTGTGCCATGGATCCTCTCCTGAAGAAGAAAGAAAGAAAGAAAGAAAGAAAAAAAAAAAATAAAAAAAGACATATTTTAAAGAGATACAGCATAGCAAAACTTCTAGCTAAGCATGTCAAAATCCATTTGGACAGATCATCACTGCTATCCACTTGATGCATTCCTATCCCTTGCTGCTGTCATTTTAGAAGGTACATTTTATTTCTAAGGTTAAAGGAGAAAAAATAGGGTCTTTTTTAAAAGCATACTGCATATTTTGTATTTTTCATCACAGCAAGCCTCTGACAAAAGGTCACATTCCAAGATTAGCAGACCTCATCTCAACAACCATGATTCCACAGTATGTTTCCGTTCAAGAGTGGCCATCCGTCTAACACAATGACTGTGGCCATGCTGAAAGAAGTGTTACCAACCTAAGGAAAAAGCTTAGGAAGTGCTCTGATGTATGACATACCCCAGACACAAGTCTTACCGCCTGCAAATTTWACCAGATTCTGGTGTAAATCCAAAGACTACATTGTTTCTATTCTGCTYGTGTATGAAAGCATTTTACCATTTATTTTTCTTTTTAAATCTCCAAGGCTCTGAGACTTTGAAGTCTGATTGTTTCCTATTATGTGATCTCCATTGTCCATGAGTCCTTTATCAATACACATAGCTTTCTGAAAGACTTCCATCAACACAAACAGCAGAAGTTCACAACATGTGTGATACAGTATGTGAATGTTGGGAAATCCTAGCTGTCTGGCAGACAGATGACTAGTATGGATGGAAGAAACATCACACTGGGCAAATAAAGACCTATCATCGTTCAACATTACTCTCCACCAGTCCTGGATCAATTATGCTCAAATAATATMTGAATACTCAATGAACTCATATAGTATATGAAGCAGCAGTTATCCTCAGCTAGTAGAAGAACGTGAGGTATCCTCCTCAATCCCCACATGGTTGTTCTTGCCAGCAAAGAGGACACAATGACAGAATTACTTTTCTTTCCACTGAATGTTAAGATGTATGTGGTATGAGACAAGTTTTGGGCAATGTATTCATTCAGAAATGGAAAAGTTACACTTGAGAGCAGATATCACTATCTTCCTGTATATGTTGTTAATGAAGTACATTTAGAGCACTTTACTGAAGGGGGAAAAAAATGAAGTTGCCTAAAAGGAAAAGGAATGGACAGAAGGAATTGTAAAGAGACCTGAGCAAACTCTGGAGATGGAGAGCCAGCAGAGAACAGATGCAGAGAAAGCGAGAAACAGAAAGTGATGGCAAAGAAACCCTCAGACTGGCTCCAGCTCTGAAGTACCTGACTTGCACCTATGAAGCAAAGTGTGTTAACACTTCATTATAGGAACTAATTAGGAACAGGCTCCACTTCCCAAATATAGTCATGAAAAGAATGAGAGAAATGTGCTAAGCCATGAGGCTCAAGCAGCAAGGGAAAACCTGATGAGAAGATGAAAGGAGAAGGAAATAAAGGTGCGAAGTGTTCTGGAGGAAATTYCTGGCAGGACAGACACTGTGGAGGAAAACCAACACCCTGCCTCCAGGGGCAGCCTGTGAATGCCTGAAGACAGGGAGGAAGGGGTGGCTGACTACTMTATATATATAGTATATATATGATAGTATATCCCAAATGCAGCCACCCCCAAACAGGCTCACCAGCATAATTGTAACATTCTTTACCATCAGTGTGGCCTTGCTTTACATAATACCAAAACATGAGGACCTTGTGATTAAAACAACAAATGAGTTTGGGAGGCTCACTTTAATCAAAGAAATAGGAGAAACAGCAAAGTTAATTTTCATTTTATCCTGTTCCTGGACTCTACTGCCAATCTCTGTCAGAAGCATCCAAGCAATGGGATCATTCTCATTCAGTTTCCAGGCTGGCTATATAAACCTCAAGTTACAAACCCTGAGGGTTGTATTCAAACTTCAGAGTGTTTCTCAGAGTCCCTCACTGTTCCAATTGCTCATCAAGCACCGGGGTAAACAATATAGGCTGGGGAAAGCCCCAGTAAAACCGGGCTGGGGAAAGCCAGGGCACAGGACTTCAGGAACAGCCACTGGTGTCATTARTGGGATGAGGCCCTGAGGATACCAAGAAGCTACATCTCATGTTTGAATATGACTCAAGTGACAGCTACTCATATGAATCTTGTAGATCTACTTATCAGGCTGTAAATCTCTCATGACAGCAAAATTTCCCTATAAATGTTGGGAACAATGAGAATGTGCTACTGAACAGGCTTACTTATCTCATTGGGTTGCAGAGGTGGCAAAACAGGCAGTTCTGAGCCTAGCAAAGGGAGCACAACTAGTTATCCTGAGTATCTTCCCAGAAAAAAACAACCTCAAAGAAGTTAAAGTGATTCTCATTTCATCTGGATTTGCTTTAAGATCCTGGTTGAATCTGGTCCTGTATAAGGTGACGATAGGAAGTAGGAAGACAAATTTCAAACTTGCACTCACTGCAATAATGCAGAGATCTTTGACCCAAGTGGACTAATTTTGATTATAAAAAAAACAGGTAATCCAGCCAAACTAAACGCAAGGCAGGCACAGGTATAAGCAACTTTTGTTACACAGAGCACTTGCAAAGAGGCTGTCCTTTCTATTCCTACTCTAAGCTCTGCCCTTGAAAACTTTCATGTTACTGCCAGACAATTTCCTACCCTGAGCTCCTGCTACTCAGTTATGGATTAACTGGCTGATAGTTCCTTGTCATCAGCCAGAGAGACCAAGCATTTTAAGAGAAACAGACTTGCATAATGTGGTTGCTATGATAAATGATTCCCTCAGCACCATAAAAAATATTTATGGTCCCTAACTAACAATTTAAAAATAAAGTAAATTCTTTACTTCTTTCCTTTTTTTTTTCCCCCCTTACAGAAGAAAAAGGAGGTCACTTGATCTGTAGCATACATTTCCCCCCCTATTTATTTATTTATTTTTACTACARGTCTGCCAAGCCGTGTGGTTTCTCTGTTGCACAAAGCCTTGGCCCCTTTTGAGAAACAAATCAAATGAACTACATTTCCCAGAGTCCTCTAGCAAAACAGCAGCATACACTGTCTGAGGAAACATCTCTTTGGCCAGATTAAGGGTTTACCAGCTTTTGCTCCACCAAGCTGAGCTTTTGGTACGTTGCAAATAACATTTTGCTCGTTGCAGCTCCTGTGATTATGTCATTGCACTTTTTCAAAGGAACTAAATTTGTTGGGAGGCCTATCAAAATTAGAGAATGGCAGGGCTTCATGAAACTAGAAATCATATCAGTTGGTTCTCTGCTACACTGACCAGGTGATTTATTTGCCCTGCAAGATAAATAAAAATATTCTCAAGTCACTCAACTCCATTCTGTCTTAATAATGTCACAGCATGAGTGAAAAAGTACAGTACTTTAGGATGCCCTTTCATCCAATCCTGCAATTCCAGATACATTAGAAACTCCAAGTGTTTTAGGAATACTGGTAAAGGCTATTTCCAAATATTTTTAAAATATTAGCCGTCAAAAAGTGAAACAGATTAAAACGTGATTTATCTTTCATTCCATTATTGATCTGAAAAAAAAAAATCAACAAAGTGGATCTCAAATTTCTTTTTTGATATCTGATCGTTTTTCTTAGTTTAAGAAAACTTCACTTTGAGCAAAAATTACATTTCTGGCATGTTTGTTAATTGAGACAGCTGTTTTATCTCACTGTAGGATTAGGCACCACCAAGGCTATTATGAGTAGCTTCACACTGAGATTCTGTAGAWATCTTTTCATTAATTTTAAATCTCTGGCAGCAGCCCTGCATCATTGTCTGCACTGGTCCTTGGGCTACTTTAAGGTAGAAAGTTCCAGAATTCTCTATATCATTTTCTAAAAATGAACATTTTCTGCTCACATGCTTGGTTTTTATTTTTTTTCCCTCCTCCTTATTCCTATAGTATATGTAGAACAAACACGTTTCTTCTGAAACTACCTCATACAGGTCTGTCTAGGGCAAGCTGAATCAAGTCCCTTTTAGATCATCTCATCTACTGGAATCACGAACAGTATCTGCCTGACTCTTGGTGGATCGCTCTCCTCCAGCCCTGGGGTAATAAAAACCACAACTGAAGACTTAACTTACTTTGATAACTTCAAATGAATACATTTGTATTTATTAAAAACCTAATGAWATGGATCCATACTTCCAGAGTGCTTAAAACCATCATTTGAACTAACCATAAATATCTGGTCCCTGTTTGACCTTGGGTGTTGTGAAAAGCTCAGGGTGGGAGAGCGACTCCRCTTTCTGTCTAGAAACAAAGAAAGGAATCTTTCCAGGACATTACAGTGGTTACAGTGCAATGTCTTTTTCTTAAAAAACAGAGATCCTTGGCACCAGCACTACTATAGAACTGTATGAATGGAATTCACAGACAATACTGCAGTGCCCTATGAATGGATCTGCGGTGTGGAAGGGATTAGCCAGAACTCAGTCAATCTATGCATCTAAATGGCTTTGCGCTCACCATTAGCCCAGATCAAAGCTAATACAAAGTCTGTAATTCCCAGAGGAAATTAGCTGGTTGGTGGTTGTTTCCTTGTTCGAAGCACGAATACTTTCCAGACAAGTCTTTTCTGACTTCTCTTTCTCGGTGGCACCCTTGGGAACTGTAGGCAATCTGTTATTGTCAACTGCTAAGAGCTAGAATATATTTGATCATTCTTGTAACACCCAACAAATCAATCCTTTCTTTCCAAAGACAATGCCAATACTGGGGAAAAAAAAAAAAGGTGTCATATGAATGTCCTGCAGAACAGACTTAATTCCTATATAGAGAAAACCCCTCACAAGCAAATCCCTCTTGCCCAACTCCATCCATACTTCTCTCAGGTTCTCTTAACATTCTCTTCCTCCATTAGGGCTGCCTGCATTTATCAAAGCTTAGAAGAGAGSCTCAGCACTAACTGCTTTAAGAAGGATGGGCCAGACAAGATGCAGAGATACCCTAGTGATGAATAAAAGGGCTATTTCTCTTAGTTGCAGCCTGGAGCTGGATCACTGCACCTCACTATGCTTCATGGTGCAGACATGCTCTTATACTCTCTGCTTATTGGTGCAGTTAATAGTAATAGTAATAATTATAAAAGTCATACATGTATCAAAAAAAATTTTGAGGGAAAAATTTGTGTTCATGTAAATTGAAAGCCAAGCATTGTCAAAACAACACAATAATACTGAATGATATTGCCAGCCCTTAGGGTCCCATGCTTGAAAACTAGAGGTATGATGACTACACACACACACACTCCTTACCCCAGCTGGTATGCTCCCTGTGAGTCTTTATTAATTTATGTGTGGCTATTTTGCTTCTGGATAAACACTGCGGAAATGCTGCAACATAAACAACATGTAAGATAAGGCCATTCAACCTACCCATGACTCTGCATTCAGAAGAATTCAAACCCATGTATACAGAAAGAAGGTACCCGGGAATGAAGCAGGAAATCTGGAGCACTGATGAAGATGGTCAAAACACATTGCCTTCTCCAGCAGCCAGAGAAATTGAATAATCCCATAACAAAATGCACCCCAAAGAAGAGGGCAAGCCACTTTTGCAGTGTCTGACCGCAACCTTAGTAGTTTTGTCGAGACCTTACTAGGTCAAAACAGTCCTTGAAAAATTCTCCAAAAGGAAAATCCCTCCCTCCCTTTCCAACTATTTTGCCTTCCTCAAAACAGCATCTTTTACCCCCTTCACCACCCAGGCCTTCAATTTTATTAGCACAGCTGCCTTCACTCCTAACCAGAGGGCAGGATAAGCCTACAGTTACTGTACACTAAACAGAAACACCTGTGACTCTCTTTTTCATATACATTCATATATATACATATATTAGCTATTATTTCTTTTCTTCAGAGCACTAAGTTCCATGTTCGGAAAAGGAAAATAAATCCCTGTTCTTACATTCTCTCCCACACCCCCCACGTGGTCTTGACAGACAAGCACAGACGGTGCAGCAAATATTTCACTTCACTTTATTTTAAAGAAAAGGAGAGAGGGGGGGAAGAGAATTCTTGTGGCATTCCAGAGGTCCCTGGACACTCATTCCAAATGCCTGAGTTGGGCCCTGGGTGAGTTTCAGTCTAAAAGAGAACCTGGGTTTCTAGGCAGACATCCAAACTCAATACAGACACTTTTTTTTTTCCTTTCTAAACCAGTTTAAAAAAAAAATTAAGACCAAAAGAGAAATGGATGAAAAGCATAGAAAAGAAAGAGAGAGAAGTGGAGGGGCAGAAGAGATGACTGAGGTAACAAAAAATGTGTGCAAAAGGAACAGTGCAAAGGTTTATGTGCAAGACAGAGAGCAGTAACCGTGCAAGAAGGCAGCTTCCATTATAGCCATGAATGAATGGTGAGAACAAACAGGCCACCATGCCCTCTTCAACAGTCGTTCTTTCCAGGGTAGAGAAGACTGTATGGGGGGCTCTTTCTCACTGGGTTCTGTTCACATTGGCTCCAGACTTCCTTTTCCTTGATGCAAAAATGAGGGCAAATCTGGCACAACAGCCCTGGTGATGTCTGCCTCTGGCTTCAAGAAGATTGGGTCCCACTGCTGCTCTGCTGAATCAATAGTACCCTCCGACCTACTGCTGATGAATCTAACATGCAGCTTGGTCACCACAGATGTGCTGTACTGCTAGACAAYTGGAGAAACTCCCTCAAAACAGTTACTGACTCCTGTTGACTACTAAAAGTCACTAAATCACTGGCTTCTGTCACCGTGTGCTTCACAGCATCARTCATTATGGCTGCCTTTGGCAATTAAGTTCTTACCTCACTCAGTTTAGCCCAGTTGAAGGATTTCAGGGGGTGTGAAGGCTGCGGGATAGACTTCTTCTTCAGGCTGGTGCCACTGCTGCTGAAGGTGCTTGTTGGAGGGGGAGCCATCCCCATGCTGAAGAAAGGTGGTGCTCCTGGTGGGGGAGGAGGTCCTCCTGGAGGAGGTGGTGGAGCAGGAGGAGGGGGACAACTGGAGAAAGGCAGAGGGGGTGGCAGTGGAGGCGAATTCTCTGACATGAGAGAAGAGGACAAAGCTAATGGGCCACCAGGAGGGGGTGGCGGTGGGGGTGGGAAAGAAATGCTGCCACCTTGCTGAAAAATAAAAAAAAATAAAAAAAAAATAAAAAAAAAGACACATAGAAAAAGAAAGCAAACAGTTTAAAGATAAAATAACTCCATGTTGCCAGCTGATGTGATTTTATTGCAAGTCTCAAAATATTTGGTGTTTTCTTTAAAACCTCCTGCACTCAAAGCCCTGCAATAAAGGGAGGAATCTCAGCTTTCATTTAAGAGAAAGTTTCAAGCGCTTAAAGCTGTGGAGAAGAGCTTGAAAAAAAGGAACCATAAATGGCTCAGAAAAGCAGAAAGGTAGTAAAAGAAGCCAAAATATATTATTTTCTCCTTATGTATGAAAAAAAAAGATAAAAGTTCAATATTGTAAACTTTTGAACTCCTGGGTTTTGAACCCGAGGGTTTGAAATACTGAATACCTGTGATTAAGACTACAGTAACACAAAGTGGGAGAAGGGAGGAGGGAGTGAATCCCGTTTTCTGCAGTGTCCTGGTAATCAAGGCTTAGGCAAACTATGACAGATGCAGCACCAAGCAGGAGACAGCATCTGCAAATGTCACTTCTGCAGTTACAAGGCAATGCAGACCCTCTTGCATGCAGACGCATGACATGGGTTCTGTTTCTCCACTAAAATCCACTTTCATATCTGTGAGACTTCTCTTTGTTCTACTAGAATGACAATCATGGCCACCTATTACACCCACTCATAGTAAAAATTATGGTTAGAGGAGGACACATGCACCTCAGTAATTCTCAAATATCACAAAGAAAGGGCTGAGGAAAAGGAATGAAATATCCCATTCCTGCGTTATCCTTTCTATACCACTTGCTCAAGTAATATGGTGTCTACTGAAAGTCTAAGCAGCTTATAAGCATTTGTATTTGTGGCTGCCTGGTCAGGCTCTCCCCTGTACAGGCCACAGGAAGATTTTCACTCATTATATGTTTTTCTTCATCATTTGCTAGTTAGCAGGGTTTTTTAACAAGGACAGGAAGAATCCCAGTCTCATACCGAGAACTCATTAAGTTGGGCTACCAAGTCGTTCATCTGGTCCCGCGTCTGGCGCAGCTCCAAGGATTCCTTCTGTAGCTTGTCCTTCATTTTGTTTAGCGTCTTCATCATTTCATCTTTCTCTTGGGTCTTTGTCTCACATTCCCGTTCCTTCTTCTCTAGCCTGCTCATTAGCTCGGCATGATCTAGGAGGAAAAGGGAAATAGAGTGGATGAAACAGAACTCATGAACAACAGTCCCCCAAGGTGACTTAAGTTACAGTGGAGTAAAACCAACATAATTCTGTTAGTTCAACTATGGGCAAGAAATAAGAGCAGGGAAACAAAAATGAAGCTAATTGTCTTGACAGTGATCTTCAGTGATTAAGATATTGAGACAGTGGTGTCTAATCTTCACTTGGATTGAGGAAAGTTTGAGGGAAGCTCTGTCCTATGAACCACTAAAACTGATCGGCATGAGACACAGGAAAATGCACTGGGAGAAAGAAAGCAGGACTAGTCCATGAAAGAAAACACTGGACAGTTTGTTCTGCCCACCTCTTTCTGTGACTGAATCAGGATTTTCCTCTCTCACTTCTCCAAAAAGAGCAGGAATACTCACCTTTCCGGAATTTCTCTGCTTGATCCCTCCACTGCTTGACTTCATTTTCGTTCACCAGCCTGGAAGATGGAATCAGGTCATTTAAGCTTGCTTGGAGCTACCCAGCTCAGAGAATAAGTAGCTATCATGTGTAGTAATCAACAAAAGGCAACCTGATGGATTTTCACAAGTTTATATAGAATCATATCAATGGTCAGTCCAGTTCCAGRTCGCCCAGTCCCTCATACAGTCAACAGGTAATATTACAAATGTGATGTCTTATGCTCAAAGCCCTAAAAAGAACTAAAGAACCCGAAGGAAAAAAATCCTGACATTTTTGTGTTGAGGCAGTAAAAGTTAAGTCAAAACTGCCAATCTACTGATATTTAATGAGAGAAGTCATAGCTAAAACCCCTGTTGCTTTTATGGGTTACAAATTATCCTACCCTTGTTAGAAGGCTGAATTACCACTCTTCTTTTTTTTTTTTTCCCCCTACTTCAGTGGTTCTATTTTTCTTTCTTTCAAGGAGAAAGGAGGGTTATCTGTTGGGTAATATATCAGTTACCATGCAATGCTCATATCTCATRCTGGCACAGCTATTTCCTATTACTGACAGAAAATATGCAGGGCATGCTAGGGATTGATTAGATATGCAAACTGAGGAGTAGCTATGAAAGTAGAAGTTCTTGATATGAAGACAAAGATCAACATCAACATATTTTTCCATAATGAGAAATCAGTTTTAATTTTGGCTCATGTCTGTAACAGTAGGGACTATAAGACTTTTAATATAAGAGAATTTGGTTATATATGAGGTTTATGTTCTGTGAGAATGCCCCTTGCAGTGGATAATCCAGCATGGCAATGGGTCATGAATTACCTGCAGAGGTAGATGTATGGGATGCAGAATCTGAAAGTTAAGCTAAAAAAGGACTGAGAAAAAGGGAATTGAGATGAGAATCAGCATATGTAGCTAGACTTCTCAACTGATACCTACTACATGAAAAAAAAAAAAAAACGGTAGAACTCTTGGTCAATTTTGTGGGCAACTGCATGTAGACACGTTATAGAGAGGTAAAAGGTGGCATCCCTTACATGAAGGCTGCTATCCACTATCTGAAATTGTTTTAAAGTACGTGCTTATTAATGGGGAATAAGGTGTAAGTAGAGATGACCACATTTTTTGAAAATGTCAATGCAATCTTTCATCAATATTTTGACAGAAGAAAGACACATGGGAAAACCTCATTATATTATTGAGGGTATTGGAACTTAAAAGGCAAAAGTAAGGATTTTCCTGAAAAATACAGGCTAGTTGGATGTAATTTGGAATAAAGCCAAGTTCAGAAGACTAACAAAAAATATGAATCTGTAATTAAAAAATGAAAATTCTCAGTTATGATATTTTATTTGCTAAATATTTACATAATTATTATATTTTAACACCTGTGTAGCAATTAAAGATAATAGTGCAGCTTACATTTTAATTATATTTTTGACATTGAAATTTTCCAGCGGGGCTATATCTGGATCATCTCCTCGCTCATCCTGAAGAACAATTTGTTGCAGTATTCGGTCCAACAGCTGCCACTGCTGAAAATTTCCTCCATTCCTCTTATCTGTACGGAAAAAAATCAGCTCATGAGTTCTTCCATTTTCATGCCAAAGTGTGCAGACCTACCACCAGACTGGCATTCCTTCCTTTCTGTTTCCTATCGTAAAACCCTAAAAAAATAAAACATAGAACACAGGACTTTGCACTGTGCTAGTGGCATATCAAACCAGAACAAGATCGGCATGTGCAAATCTGTGCCTAAGTTGCACATTCCGGGTGTGGGACCCTTTTGGTAACTTGCACTTTAAACCAGCTACCGCAGTGACTGGTACTTTCTGGGGCTTGATATTTATTTTTGGTACTTAGATAACATTGTGAATAGGCACTACAAAAAAAACTTCAGATTTTCTGCCTGCATACGCAGTTACTTGAAGGTCAAAGAAATTCATCTGGTATAAAAATTCATAAAAATATGACCAAAAGGTGTGGAGAAAAAAGACGGAAATGGATCAAAAAGGAACTGATTCCATAGACAGCAAATGGAATAGCCAGGGAAAAAAAATCACTTTAGGTCCTTGAGTTTTATAATCCGGACCTTCAATTGCTTTTAAATTGCTTCTATATAATTCTGCGCTCTAGCCTAGCAGGATATGATCCTTCTGMCACCAATAATATTCTAGGTCAATATCCAAAGCTCAAAACCTAAGGATTGTCTAAAATAATAGTATCAAGGAGATCAATTGGACAAAAAAATGCTTAAATTTGTGCATGGGAATACTTCTAAGTGCCTGATCACATTACCTCCTGAAAAAGCATATACAGTATATATCTCCCTCTTGTTCCCATCTTAGTTCCTCAGTTTGACTGCTCAAATATGGCTGAAAGTAATCAAAGTCAATGAAAGTCMTCCCCTGACACCTATGAAGATTAAGGCAGGTAGTTCTGTGGTCCTCTTGCTGTGCCCTGTTTTGGTTGCTACACTCTGAAATCATAACTGAATTATTTCATCTGACAGTTATCAAGTAGATTCCTATCACCTCTCTTGAAAACAAATGCCAGTSTTATTTTTTATTTTGCATTTGGGAGCCTTCCACTGATGCACTGCCATGAGACACTGGCCAAAAAACTTGTAGATTTTTTCAGTGATAGAACAGCTTTCATTTCTGTATTGCTTCTCTGAAAAGTTCCTCACTGCATTTTGTTAACATTCAAAATGGTGCCTATTTCTGGGAATTCCTGCTYTGGAGCACAAGAGCTCTTTCTTTTTCAAAGCTTCTAATTTAAAGCCATTAAAAGCTCTGTCATTGACTAATTGGAATGCCTCCAGCTACTTAACTTTATTTGCAAATGCAGAGAGGTCAAACTGCTGCTTTATGTATTGCAACAAAATTGGCTGGCTAGCATCAGTGGCAGATACCAAATCTCTTAAGCCACTGTCAAGATCTCAATGAAAGACAAAAAAAATGTGTATCCTGGCATCTGTCACCCCTTACCTATATACCAAAGTTTCCCATTTTTCCACTGCCCCTTGCTCTGGGGAATAGTGATGTACTCACAAGGCATCTGCAAGCAGTGCTGGAGGATGGATAACAAATAGGGATAGGCATCTGTATGCTTCAATCTCTTCTTGATCAGCTCAAACATCTGAGAGGCGCTTTTTGTATCAATGTGGATCTGAAGTGAGAGAAGGCAGTGAAAGAAAAAGTGAGACAAAAAACAGGCACAGTGAAAGCCTGGCTAACTGTGAAAGGTCTGATCAACAGAGACAGGCAAACTTTCAGCAACTGGACTGTTGCAAAGTTACTTGCAACGTCCAGCTCCAGTGAGGAGGCACATAGGACTTTGCGATGACCACTGACAACTCAACTCCAATAAGGAGAATATTCTCCAAGGGATGAAAAATTGGGAGGCATGCAAAGCCACCAAAAGCTTTCTGGAGCAAACAAAACATTTGGGTTCTAAAAAGTAGTGACACAAATAGCAGAAAGTAAGCAGAAAAGGGCTGAATGTTCTGTATTGGTGTGCAGCAGAGGCCAGTCACGGACAAAAAGGAAATTACATCATTTTCCTGAGCCCTACAGTCCCTTCCTGTGGCTAGACGTTGTGGAAACTGCCTTTACTGTATGCTTGTCTTCACTGATTGTCAAAGCATTGATCTTCTCTATAACCTCCGAGGTGACAACCTTCAGAAGAATTTCCTGAGTTCTATCAAGTAAAGTAAAAAGAGTCCAAGCTTCACCTATGGTCTTGCGAAGAGAGTGTACAAATCTAGAATGCATCTGTATCATCAGGATTGAGAACATGAGAGCAGTGTTGAGAACCTCCTCCACTCCTGAACTTTCAGCCAAGCAAAAGAAATAAGTCTTTGTCAAAGATACTTGGCAGAAGCTGTGTCTGTAATCATTGTTTTCATTGTTCACACATCACAGATCCCTACTTGTTAAATGAGAAACAGTGAAAACAAGAGCACCAACCACTCTCAGCAGCCAAAGCCAATCATTGCAGTCAGGGAATGCAAGGGGAAGTTGCACAAAGGATCCAAAGCAGATGGTTCAGCTTTGGCAAGTTCAGGTACTCCGGAGAAAACTTACCAGATCAAACCTCTTGGCAAGCTCCAGGTCATCTTCGTTTCTGACCATCTCAAAGAAATCTAAGTGCCTAAAAGAAAATGGAAAAACAAAACAAAAACAAAACTGCCAGTGTTCACTGCATAATTCTGACTTCAAGTAAACCTGCCACTGCAGAAGTAGTAACACCTCATTTCTGCTAGYGGACCTGGAAATCAGCAAGTCTTTTTTACATGAAGTGTTGGACTATGTTTTAAGGCAACTCATAAGGGTCAATGACAGAAAGAAATGGCTGGCTGACGTACARGTGCGCTGTAATCCCCATGCTAAGGCACAGTGCTGAGGTAATGGCTGTTACAATTGCATATAAAATAAGAATGAGATGCAATGTCTGCAGTGATGATGCATTTTGAAAAAGCACACACCATGCTTGTTAACTAGATAATTTGAGCCATTTGCAATTTGTTTCTTTTACAATGTGGACCAGAGATGCATTTAGTTAAACAACAGGCTTCAGAGATACCTGTACATTTGCCTACCAATGAGCACAGCTGTGTATCTGTCTTGGGATTTGGGACAYTCATGAGACACATGTTTAACCATGGCACCTGGACTTCCCTTGCATGGAGACCAGAACACGGCAGATGGTCTGGGAAAGACATGGCACATTTCCCTGGCCTGACCTGGCACATAGTCTATGTAACTCCGGCATTTGGGATCCTCTCAAACTTCTGTATCATCCGTATCATTATGATCTGTGATATCCTCAAGTGCCCCTAAGTGCCTCCTGAATACTCCTTGTTACTAGCCAGAGAAACAGGGATGKTTCATGGGCTAGATTCTATTCTTGGCTACAACAGTATAGATCAAAAGCAACACTACCACTGCAGCTCTGTGGCAAGCCATAGACATATATTACTACAGTCTTTTCCTGTAGCATTACCATATAGATATATGCCCCCATTTGTTCAAAGATGTAAAGCCTCTATTTACAAAAAGCAGCTGGTGTTAATCTGGTGTTTATGTAAAATTTATCACCTTACAGCAGCTCCTGATATTGGATAATTGAAAAAAACAAAACAAAACAAAAAACAACCTAGAGGTTAATGCCTTGAAAGCTGCAGACATAGACATGATTCTTAGTTTTCCACCATATACTTGGGCAAACTAGACACTTCTGTCTAGCAAGTCCTTGCAGATCAGTCCTGCTCTATAGAAAAGGGAGGAGATAGACAGTCCCCATCCACAGACTATTCTCTGAAAGTGTGTCTTACCTGTCCAATGTGGCATTCTCGTGTCCTCTTAGCTTGTCAATGACAGGTTGAATTCCCAGCATTAGAAACTCATATCGTAGGTGTAATCGGAACTCCAAATTATCCTTAAGGATTGAGGAAAAAACAACATAATAGGTTCCTTTTTTTTTTTTTTTTTTTATGCACTTAAAAACTTTTAGTGCAATTAAAAAGATTTGCTTAAAAACTCAATTCTTCCCTTTTTTAACATCCGTCATCCAGACACTCAGATCACACCCCTGCAAACTGTGATCCCTTATCCTAAATGTTTCTAAATAATCCTACCATCCCAAGCTGAAATAACTAAAAATTAAGGCCTTTTCCCCCGTTTGCCTTAAAATGCAATCCTCATGTGCCTAGAATGAGTTTCAAGCATCCAGTAAGAAGGACAGCAYACTCCATGTTGCTCTGCAAAGACTGAAAGTCATTAGTGTTTAACCTGCTAGTCAACTGGACATCTTCTATGTGGTTACAGATGCACAATACTGCAGATTTCAAGTAACATTTTCAATTAATTAAATCAGCTTAAGCTATTCTCCTGATTCAAAAGGAAGTGATATTAATGAAGAAAAACAAGCCAACTGAAATTTTAAAAATATTCCACTTTGATTTTTGGGGGTTAAAATATCTCAAATCATTTCTGCATTGTAAACCAAATTTACTCTGCGCATATATAAAAAAAGAGCAAGTAGAACAGAATAATAAAGAAGGGCTTCTTGCTACAATTTTCTATGTTGCATTGGAAGAGGCTAGGAATGAAATAATAGGGAAGGCACTGATGGACGGATATTTACAATTTGCCCTTTTTCTACAAGTCATATTCACTCAAAAATACAAGCTTTGTGAGTTAATCTGCTAGCCATTCTCGGGTAAACTACTTGAAGAACAACATTTTAGATGGGATTTCCAAGGCAACAACTCACCTCACCAGCACCTGCATTCAGAACTGCATTGATAAAGGACATGATGGCTGTTTTGAGGTTCACTTCATCTCGATAACGCCCCATGCTTCGGTCTAGCTCATTCAACAAAGTCTGAAACAACAATGGGCAGTGTTAGAAGATACCATCCACTTCCTTGCACCATTTTCAATACTGTTCATGAAATCTGCAAACAGATATAGTTGTGTAAAAAGTAACTTTTTTCAAGGAATCATCTTGGCAATTTGGGCTATGTCATCAAAAAAAAAAAAAAAAAAAGAAGAAGAATATTGATAGGAATAAAATGTCCACATGATCCTAAAGAGAAAAAAAAAATTCTAAAGTAAACTAAAAAACCAAATGCCCTTTAAAATCTCTGTCAACATAATGTGAGAAAGCTTCCTAGTCAGCTAACTGTGCAGAGAATATGACAGAGAGTTTATACAGAAAAACAGAAAAACATCATCAGATACATATTCCCTTTCTACTTATGCCATTCACATAATTTTCACAATTTTTTTTTGAATGTCAGTAGGYTAGATTGCACTTGCAGATACAGTTATACCTGCATATACAGAGGTACAGTTCCTCCTTGTTCCTTCACTGGTAACCAATGACCTGRTCTTCACAAGCCCCTTTTAGGAATGTGCAATTAACAAAAATATCCCCTCACAGAACTCTTATAACTAAAAAGCTGAGTTACAAAGCTAAAGTGAAAAGTACAGTTAAATCCAAATTTCCATGTTATGTCCCCCTACTGAACAAACAGCAAATCGCATTTAGCACAGACATGCTGTTGGTCTAATCTCTATCCATTTCTTCCATTTCTGGATCCCCAGAAGTATATTCAAGGCAAATCCAGTGTGTGTGTGTGTGTGTGTGTGTGTGTGTGTGTACAAACACTACACAGAATGACAGAGATGCTACCATAGTCTTGTGAAAATCAGGAGACAGAGGAGGAAAAGAAAAAGACTAGAAAATGAATGCCAGTAACGTGTGCCTTAGCAAGGACTAATGCCATCTGAGTATTTCCAGAAGAGTTTATATATAAAAGTGCTTAGCCTTGGAAGCAACTGTCTGTTTCTAGCTTTGTGCTGCTGATCTTCTCTAATCAGTTCRTAATCCGAGGGCAACTTTCCTCACTGGAAGAATAACAAATTCCACTTGGGATCTGCCAGTTCAATTGCATGCATCTCACACACAGATATGTGTGTTGCTCATAYCATAGAAATGTCAGAATTGTTTTACTCTTCCAAAGAAGTCTTGGCCATAAAGGGAGAATGGAGACAAAAATAGCTTGTTAGTGTCCAACCCATCACATCCACCTCTATAACATTCTGAAGCTATGATGCTGAGTAATGAAGTTGTTTTTCCTTTAGTCAGCCTTCTGTCTCTGTCTACTGAAAGCTTTCATTCATAGCTAAATCTTTCCCACGCCAGTCATCAGTTTCATGGGTCTGTCCTGTTTCCTGTAGAATGTGGACACGACCATGCAGGCAGTATGTCCCTAGAAGCAGAAGGAGTATCCTCCTTGCTTCACGTGATCCTTCGCTTGCTTTTATGCAAAAATCTTCTCAGCCATAAAACACTGCTACTGGCAACTATTGTTAAACCTCTCCATAATATGTCTACCTTTGCCCCACTGCAAGTTCAATTTCATAAACCTTTTCTCGCATCTTCTAAATTGCCCATCTGGCACCTGTAAATGCCCCTGGTCCTGGCATTTGAACTTTGACCAAATCCATGATGTCCCAGCAGCCATGTTACAGCCAAACACTTCTTCAAACACTCCTAACCCATTTTCCTTGAAATAGGAAGGAGCCTTACATAAAAACACAATAAATGCCCTGGTTATTAAGACTGATAGTCCATCCAGTCCAGCATCCTATCTCTGACAATGAGCATACAACACTCAATTTAAGGAGACTTACTATTTAAGAGGCAGACTTTTTTTAAATTCACCAGTAAAAATAAATTGTTCAACTTAATAAACATGCAAAAGTGAAATAAGTGAAAGAATTTCTTTCCATTACTTTCATATTTGTCAATGAAATCCAAAGCACTCAGATCTTCTTGGAAGGACTTAAGTAGTCATTCCTTTAGAAGCATCAAAAACAAGTCTAAATTGCTTTTCTGCTTTTAGTTAATATGTCTTCTTTTTCTTAACGGGCCTCCCTTCTACCATATATTCTCAAAGATTTTAGAGAACACTGGAATCTATGCAGTACCATTCCAGACACAGCATCCACATGGACTGAAGGATGACTAGTTTTCTATTCCCTATTTCAGAAGGCTCTAATAGGAACCAAATGCAGATAGGACAAGTGAAATTCAGAGCGAGAGCAACAAAAATCTTGGGGTGCACTAAGCTAATTAAAGAGCATTGCATCCTCATGCAATTGTTCAGCCCTAGAAAGAAGCACTATCCGGTCACACAGTTCCTAAAGATCAGAGTCTACACCCACATGCTGTGGCCGAATTCCAGTATCCCTAATGCTTTGTAAATGGCTGAGGTTCAAGTCTTCACTTGAACATTTCCTGTGAAAGAGGTTTCACTACACCTCTTGGCAGCCAGTTTTGTGGCCTAATTGATCTTATGGTTAGAAAGGTTTTTCCTACTATTTAAGCAAAACTTTCCTCACTTAATCCCATTATTCCTCATCACTGACATCCAATAAGGTTTCATTCAATATCCTGCAAACCTCAAAAGGCTTTGGATGATCCTGGAGAGGGAGAAGCAAATCAAGTGGGAATAAAGATGTTGATTTGTTCCCCTTTAACTCCTCTCTTACAATTTCAAATTGATCAGATCTGTCTCTACAGATCACGCTGATGATCCTATACTGATGGTGTTTAATACAAATCAGGCAATGGGGCTCTAGAAGGAATGTTCCTGATGTCCACCTTTTCAGGTGACCGTATCAAGCTTCCTTTATTTACAGAATCACAGTGTGTTTGAAGTGGGAAGGGACCTTTAGAGATCATCTAGTCCAAACCTCCTGCTCAAGCAGGCACACCTAGAGCAYGTGGCACAGGGTCACATCCAGGCAGGTTTGGAAGATCTGCAAAGAAAGAGACTCCACAGCATCTTTGGGCAGCCTGTTACAGTGTTCTGTCATCCTCACAGTAAAGAAATTCTTTCTTATATGGAGATGAAACTTCTTGCATTTCAAGAAGGGTCCTTCCAGCCTGGACACTGGAATGTCCTAAAATACCTTTCTAAGCCAGTTCAACATCCATAATTTTACAACATTCACTTGAGTTATAAAAAGGCATCTTTAAAAATATGTCAAAATTCAATGCATGCACTCTACAGGAGAAATAAAGGGATGTAGCAAGCATATCAATAATAAGAAGGGCAACAAACTGTGGAAGAGAGAACATGCCTCTGTTGCAAAGAATGTCAATCACAAAAAAGGCAATGCAAACATGAAACAGGAGGCTCTTCATTCACAATTTTCAGAGCACTTTAGGGATCTCCGTTTTCACAATAAAGGCACCTGAGAAACTCAAGATTTTTTTTTTGGTCTTGCTTTTTTAAGGAGCAGAGTAGACTTTGTAGGCAAAGAAGCACATTTCAAACAGAAATTGGATGAAGCAAAGGCAGAGCTTTTCAAGACTGCCTTGTAAAAGGGAAATTATCTTTGTATTATTGTGGCATTTGAATAAAGATGAACAAAGGCTCTCTCCATTAATTCACATTAAAAACACACACGCACAATAAAATAGAAGTACCTCTTTTCCATATTATTTCAGCACAACTAGAAACAGTGTAAACTAATCTTCAGTTCATACAAGCTACTAGAGGAATCAGGGCCTCTTGGACAACCACCATCATCGCTTCAACCAAGGAAGAATGGTATATTGGTGAGGTGACTCCAATGTTTAGGAGCTACAGTTTAATACACAGCAACAAATTGATTGACCCTTAAGAAGGTGCCCAGTTCAGTAAGAGGAGAAATACTGTAACAACAGGCAGCAGTAAAATAAAATAAATAAAATACAATAAAAACCTGTCGATAACCTACTGACCTACCTCAAGGTCTCTCAGAATAAGTGAGTTTCCTCTCTGTGCTCTGAATCAGTGATACCTAAGGCAACAACTGATAAGTATTGATGCTCCACAAATTATAAGTGGTATCTTTAAGGACCTCCACTGTTGATTATTTAATTTACACCTCTTGCAATATCCTTGCATAGTCTATAAAATGAGGACAGAGCCTCCTGAATTTCTGTGGCTTCAGCTTCTAGGACAAAACTAATAACAGCATTCCAAAAATCTCATTGAGTAAAAGTATAAGTGGATTAGCATGTTTCATTTAACACAGCATTTTCCATTTTTAAGGCAAAACATGTGAGATTTTAAATTAGTGTTAATTGCAGGTGTTCGGATCTTGATGATAAGCTATCTGAGGAAGTATTTGATTCTTATCCTAAACAACAAAAAAGCCTTTTTACTGCCTGGCAATGTTGCAATAAGTGCATTATAAAAGTAATTATCTGAAGAGATGCATCTTCCTGAATATTTTTGGCAAAGTATGCTGCCTATACCTGGAATCTTGTCCTTTCTGCAGCATAGACCTGGTAGTGAAGCATTGCTTGCAAGACCTTCTTGTGGCCGTCTGGTACCAAGCAGACAGCCCCTAGGATCTCCAGCACAGCAATCTTGGTCTTGATGTTCTCAGTTCGTAAGCTCTGGGAGATGATGTTGATACTCTCTGGATGAGCTAGGACATGAGCCCGTCCTTGGGAGTTGTTCATCAGTGCCTTGATACACCCTATAACGGATGTGTGTATACGGCTCTCTGAGGTCTCATAGTCCATGCTCTTCAGGAAATTCAGCAAACAACTCAGGCCATCTAGCTCAATAAACCTGGTCACAAACCTGGAAAACAAATGAAGAAAACAGACCATGGGCATATTATTTCAAATATAAGCCTGCATCTATAATAAGCAAGTAGTTTTTAACCTAAGACCCACAGTAAACTCCGGAGTATTAAAAAGAAAAAAAAATGCCCAAAAGACTTGCTAATACTGTTGTATCATACATTTTCAGGATTACATTATACTGCCCTACGACGCTACAACTTGATCCCTGTGTTCCATGCTGCAGGCACTACCTAACACCTGCTGTGGTCCACCCCAGTGGTTAATGCATTTTCAGGACTGAACTGATTCTTCCATATCCTTTCACTTCTACCGTGTAGATTTCATGCACTGATTTCACAATACATGTATAGAAGCATACTACATTTAAGAGGCATATGTTCTTCAGTGCATGTTTAAGACAAAGCTCTCAAAACGGCCCTGGCTCCTTTTCTTTTTTGTTCTGTTGGAAACGAAAGGACAGAATAGGTCTCCTGTCAGCCATGCAGTAGCAAACATACAGTAAAAATATCATAAATTAAGGAAATATAGAATTAATCAATTACCAAATGACACAACAAACACTAAATCTGCACTAGGACAAATTTCTTTTCAGTAATGTGAACACTAGTTTTCTGCTTCTATTCCGCTCTATCCTAACTACAGACCCATAAAAATTTGCCTTTTTTTTTCAGATGAACATTTCCACTGGGGATGGAAATAATAAAGGAGATTGTCTATTGGAACACTTTAAAATTTTGTTTAAAACCGCAATTAAAAAAAGATAAAAAAGATGGATGATAGTAAATAATTCAATTTGTTGCTGGAGTTCAAACTAGTGATTCCAGGAAAGTTCCATTCAGGTTTCCTAGAGGATTCAAAGAGATGGTAAGAGGCAAATCATGTCTCTAGACTACATTGTTTACCTCCTGCTTCCTCTAGCAGAGGCTGTTCAGGTACACTTCTTTAGAACTTCTGAACATAAAACCACATTAATTTCATTCAAACTTTCAATCTACCAAAAATCACAGCAACAATAATATGGCCATGACCATGCTTTAAGCACCATAATGTAGAAACCCCAAACAAATGAAAACATTGTTAACAACTGTCACCTCCATAACAAATTATGAGTACCAAAACGCTCTATCTTTGAGTTTTCCAGCAGTCTACTGGATACTTTCTTCCTCTTGAATACTTTCCACCATGCTGTCTCTACGTCACCTGCTCATAGTAAGTAAGAACATGTCCCTAATATGCACCACTGAGCATACTGAGCATCATACTGAGACACTCTCAACATATCTATGTTCTCTGCTCATGTCTCTATACCATCAAAACAAACATGAGACATACTTGGAGATCTCCTGGATAACATGGTTTCTCCACATATATTTCTGGCTGGCTATTTATACTACACACCACATGGGAAAGTCCAGGGCCTACCTGAAAGTTAGGCTTGCTGCACAGACGGATTTGCCAGCTTTCAGATGATTTGGGCCAGCAGTTTGACCAGAAACACGGCAAAGCCCAGTGCTTTCAACTATGTTTCACTTTGAGGTTTGAGTTTTGTTCAAAATTGAATTTCAAAGCGAATATCAGAGTAAGGGCAAGCACACACAGGAACATGTGCACACCAAAAATGAAAACAAGCTTTACCTGAACCCTGCTAAGACAACCTGCCAAGTTTCACACGGGTTTGATTGCACATTCATTGGACACATCATCTTCTCTACCTTAACAAACTATAAGAGTGAAAGCCCCACTGCACCCAGGCTAGAGAATGGGATCACACATCACGATCCAGGAATTTAGTAAGTGATTCAAAGCAGGTTATTATTTTAACTGCTTATATGAAGATTAAAAGTTAGTTTGATTTCTGTAATGTATGTATGTGCCAAACGAGAATGAAACAAGTGCATTCACGGCTGAAAAGAGTTGCTGCTGTTCACACTAGGGCTAGGCATTCAATGGGAACCAATAAATGCAAAATTCAGTTTGTTACCAAACACCGTGATACCAATGACTTCTTAACACTTGTCTAAGCCTAGTCCTGAAGAGCTGAACTGCCACCCTGGAAGGGTCAGTTTAAATCCTCCTTCCTCCTCTTCCCCCATCCTATATCCTAACTGTTCCTTCAAAATCCCTGGCAATATTCAACCTTTATCCATCTTTTTTAGCAAATATTTTGCTGTTGCTGTCAGTTACAGGGCTGAGATAAGGCTTATAATGGGTATCTTTCTGTAGACACAGAACTCTCTAGTGACGAAAAGAAAACTCCCCAAACAAAAAGGACAAAGGGGTTCTAAAATCTAGATTTTTCACTTGCTTGTATGACAAGACATACAAGGCACTATAACTTCTATTTATTTGGGCCTGCTGTGATGAACACATGAAAAAAGTGAAAGGCATCAAAGTCACATTGTCCTAATTAGGTACAATTTCTTAAAAATCCCTTGGCAGAGCAATTCTTCTAAGACTTTTTGGATGAGATCATTTTAAAAATAAGGCAGGCACAGAAAAGTGGTACGTGTTGCAGACCTTGATTAATGACATAATTTAAAACAATGCTGAGATTTTCCAGTATTCTTCCTAGTCCAAAGAGCAAAGAGTAAGCTGCACTACTCAATAGGAAGCAAAACTGGGAACCTTCCCACTTAAGCTGACATCAGAAGCAGGAACCAAATGATGATTTTTCACCTTCCTTTTCCCAAATGATTATTTCCCTATTATCCAGAAAAGCACAAATCATGTGCAAGGGAGATAATGGGAAAAATGACGACTGCAATTTCTGGGCCAAAAAATGCCCTCATTATGAGGATCTGTTTGGTGTGGTCATGGGTAGGTTAGGTCTGTGTAAATATCTGTAAAGAACAGAGACAGAAGTGGGAGTTTTGCTAAGTCATAATCCTCACAGTGTTTGGTGTTCATGCATCTCAGTGTCTGTAATTTATGTCTCAATGTCTGTGTACACGTGCTTACACACACACAAATATATGTATGTACAAACAAAAGCATACATTATTAAGGACCTTTTCCCTTACAGTATATGCATTTACAATTCTCATCCTATATGCCACATATATGGCAAAGTAAGGATTTGTTCTAGCTTGAAAAGTGTAAAGTTAGTCATATTTGCCAAAGTATTCTAACACATTCAAAAATCGAAGCATAAATAAAGCAGGGCATGCTTAAAAAGGTGCTAAACAAGCAAATTAAAGTCTAACCATACCTCAGACTCTCACCTGACCAGTTTAGCACACATTAAAAACAAGACCTTTCCTTCTTTCAAGTTTTAGTGAGTGCTAGTCAAAGTGCAGTAGTTAGTTAGCTCTAAAAACAAGCCTTTCATTCAAATATAGATGAAGCTTAAGAAGTAACGGCCCATTGATGGTTACAAATATAGCAGGGGACAGCCTCCCTGTGTGAAATAACGCAGCCCAGGAATGGCCAAAGGATCACATGCTGGGGGTGTGCAGACGGCAGGATGTTCCCACCCTAATAACAGCTAATGCTGCACTTTGCAATATCACTGCTGAAAATTTCAGCATAATGAATTTTTCCTGCTATGTACATAAATTATCATCTCCAGCATGCACTACTATGCAGAAAGGCTAAACCAAACAAAAGTAATGGAAGGTAAATCTGGGTAAAACAGGAGAAGAGCAGGCAGTACAGGAAATTACTGACGATGGTTTAATTGCTTCAGTCTAAAGAAGGTCCTTTTGTCTCCCTTCAAAAATGAAGGCAGAAGGACTTTTCTGTGGTTCCAGAAAGTTCATTTTTTTCCTGTCTCTTGTTAGTTTTTACTTTCACTGCACTTCTGAACCTCCATTTTTGGGCAACGAAATACCAAAAGAAAAGCTCTCCTCTCACTGCTTCTGTCCAACAGTTTGTCATCACACTTGTTTATAGTCATAAGTTTTTACAAACCTGAAAGAAAATCTGTTTCCTTACTAGATGCAGATGTGGGTTTTTTTTTTCTGTTCTTTAAGGTTGAGTTTGTGCCTGCATGCTGGGACATAACCTGGCTTCATTATTTGAGGGCAGTTTCTAAATATTAGAACAAAATGCACTTTTTCAAAGTGGCCCAGATAGTTGACCAGAGATGCTTCCATGTTTTCCATCATCACCTCTTCTCCAGAGGAGGAAAGAATGTGATTTTGGGAAGGTCTGTTTCAGTTGTGATGCTGTTAGAAATTGTGGGTTGGAATGGAGGCACAGCTTGGTATTATTAATATTCATTTTCTAGTAAAAGAAACAGACTTCTTCAGTATAATAAAAATGCAGAGAAATGGGCATTCTTCTCCTTTTGATTTCTTGGATAAAATAATTCAAGAAGAGGTACCTATTAGGAAGCTGTCAGAGTCCCTATATGCCCTATCATCACAAAATCATTCCAGTCAGCCCACCCTATACGGATTTAGCTTTTCATTCTCTGTTTCCATCAGATGCCTGATGAACGGAAGCAGCAAGGAAAACAGGACTTGATGTCCAAATTCAATGCTATGAAGACTAGTATTTTGAAGGTCTGGGTATAGTACTGCTTAGGAGAGGAATTTGATGGAGCTGAGGGCCCCTCTACTGCAACCTTTCCATCAAGAAGAAATTGGCTTGCTGATCAGGCATTGGCATGCAGCCCATTTGGCAGCTAACGAATTGAGTCGCTGGAAATTAGTTGAGACACAGGACTTAACTCAAAATTTGGCTTGGCTTAACTATTTAAAAAAAAAAAAAAGCCCCTAAACTATCGCCAGCGATTTAGAAGAGAACACTTTATGAGGCAGCTCATAGATGCTTGTACCGAAAGCTTGTTAGGATTATTATAAACAGATGAAGCAACAGCCTGTTGTCAAGGGGACCCAGCAGAAGTAAGAAGGTCTGATCAGCAAACTTTGGCTAAAGGCATTTCTCTCTTCTTTCCCTCTTTTGCCTCGTTCCCAAGGAGGAGGCCAGACTGTCCTATTGAAAAAGAGAGTAGGACAACCAGCAGTGACCACAAAGACACCCTTCAGCTGGACATAGCAGCAGTACTTTGCTGTCATGGCTATGCTCAAGGATATGAGAAAGCTATCATTTTTACGGAAAAATCACCAAATGAGTTCCACATTAATATAAATGAGTTGYTACCTTATACGTCAGCAGTACAGGCCTTTGGCCTAAAACATGTGTGAGAGTTGGGAGTTCAGCAGTTTTCTTAGCTTCTGTTCTAATAGCAGGACAGGTTGCATTTTACTCTGTTCTCTGCTTTAGGACAGTGACAGGCAGGATCAAACTGTCATTTGTTTCCTCGGGCTACTTCTCAATCAGGTCGCTCTTTCTTCAGTTCCATGTTAAAAGCACCACCCAACCCACATGCTGAAGTTACCAAAGGCCAGTAACTCATTATGGTGCAGCAGAGCCTCAGAAGCTGGCCCTGTGCTCCTTACAGACCGCTACGATGGAAGGCAAAACACGGACATTTAAGCCCATGTGCTGAAGCTACGTGCAGCCAAAACCGAAAGCTCTGCTGAAGTGGAGTAATTTATTGAGCTGTGGAACTACATTTACACATGAGTCCAAAGAGAAGATTCTGCCCCTTACAATAAAGCTCCTACTACACATTTATTACCACAGAGGACAGTGTGTTACATCAGATGAGGTCAGATAGTTTAGTTAAACATTAGCACAGGTTCATCTGCAAGCTGCACACTTGCTTCTACCTCAGCAATTACCTTTTGTCTTACTTATTACTTAGTGTTCACATAGTACCTCAACATCCACTAAACCACTGCACGTGAACGGAGGGACCATGATGGKGGCCTCTAGATTTGCTTATTAGTTGTAGAAAGGAGCTTTAGCTCACTAGAGCACCCTAGTCTCCCTCATATTTGTCTTTGAACTGTACAGGCTGTAGGAAGTGTGGACCTCTGTAAAGCAAGACTTCTTCTCCAAGTGTTTTCTTATTGTGTCCCATTTCTTTTCAGTAGCTTTGAGTGAAAGATTCTCAGTATAGAGAGAGGCAAGCAACTGCATTCTCTTCAAATTGCAAAGATTTCAGTCCCTGCAGTAAATAAAATTAATAGAACCAAGGACTGCACGTTACCTTTTATGGAGACTAATATTTGATACTACAGAGGAAACCAGACACGCCCATACACACTTGCTAGTTTTTTCAGAAAGCATCCTCCCACAGAAGCATATCTGYTTAAAGCACTGGTCTCAGTGGCTTCTGTCTGGCACTCCAATCCTTACAACTAAGATTAATCTGGATGGAAGTCCCCTGAACACAGTTTTTGGTCTTTATCAAGCACATTTTTTTATTCTTGTCAACAAGAAATYCACTAAAACACCATGAAGGGAAAAGCTGAGCAATTCAGCACTTAGCTGTAAGCAAAAGCACTTAGCAAAAGCAAGAAGCTTTTGAGATAATTTTATACTTTATTTTTACTTCTTTTCAGCAAACATTCACRACTGAGCATTAATGAAGGCCTTTGAAGCTATGACTTCAGCATGATGYGGATTCAAACACATTTACCTACTCAGGCTTAAGATAAAGACATACAGAAACTTTTTGTCTGTGCATTTCCTGAAATTGTATGGGTATGGTTTCTGTAAGGTATTTTTTTTTTCTTTTTTTTTTTCTTCAAGTGTTACATGCAAAAGGTTTCCATGCCTGGTAGTTTGCATTGTTCAAAGCATTGTTCCCAGAAAAACACAGATGACCTTACTTTCAAAGACACAGTACACAATACAGTGTTTCTTAACATTTGTTAAGAAAATAAATGTTTTCTTAACATTTCTCTATATCACAGTTACACAGAAAGCAGGAATAATGCCAAACTAGGTGATATCAGATGGATTAGCTGCTCTGTATCAAGCAGTTCACATTACTGAAGATACGGGAAGGCCTGAATTCAAAGTTCAGCACTAAAGGCTGATATTTTGCCCATAACAAATCAAAKTCCTTGGGAGGTTCATGGAGCTATGAGGTCTAAAAGTCTGATYTCCAGAGACATCACCTGTGTTTGCATAAACCTTTGAAGGCTTCTCACAACAGACTTTGTCTTTTCTTTTCCTAAAGCTTTATACGTCAGCATTTGTGTGTGCGTCCCAGGTAGACAGGTTCAGAACAGAATCTGTAAGCCTCTGTGGACTGTCTATCAGAGGGCATGTGTTGTGTACGCTGAGACAATGGGGTTTCTATCATTACCACTCTGCCGTGTCACATCTGACCATGGGCAAGAAGTGAATCGTGATGAAAGATGGACAACATTACCTCATGGGCTGAGTCCGCAGAGCTGTCTTCAAGTCTTCAACTATTTTATTTTTCATTTCTGTTTCTTCTTCATCAAAAGCATACAGAGTCTGCATCTGCTCAGAAAAACAAAAGCCAGTTACATAAGCTCAGGCTTCCTAGAAGTTAACAGACAGGCCAGAAATCATAATCCGTGCAGAGGTACCTGCTGCTCTCTCAACTGGAAAGCAATGCTTAATCTACAAAATTGAATCCAGACAAGGCCACTCACATGGACTGGCAGCAGCATATTGCCCTGCCACACTGCATAAACTCAGGTTCTCAGATTACACTCCCCAAAATCAGACTTGCCAGGATACCCTGAGAAAATAATGTCTAATTTGCAACAGCAACCTGGTGTGAGGATCCACAGATACGTAAGGCAAAGTTGKTGTGTATGGAGAGGTAGTATCTTTTATTAGAATTTCTTATTAGAATTAGAAGTTTAAAAGAAAAAAATTGCTAGAAGTTTAAAGGAAAAAAAAAAAAAAGAAAGAAAAACAAGGAAGAAAGAAGAGAGACTTATGTATCAGGTTTCAAAGCATATAAGCTTTTACCTCAAGGGACTAGACAGCCTTCAAGTGCCCTGAAGAACATTGCATGAACCTGGAAGTTTGACTGATTTTTTCCACTCCAGTTATATCATCTGATCTAAGATACTGATTTTTTGTTCACACTTTCCTTTACTAATTAGGAACATTTTACTACAAAATGTTTGAGCATAATAAAATCCCTGTCGTTGTCTACCAACAAGCAAACTAAGGAACACAGACTGGGGCTTATATTTTCACATATTTTCTTACTGGAATATACCTCCTCCTTTTTCTCTCCCTGGTATGCAGTCTGAGATAACTAGACCTTGAAATCAGCTGGAACTTAAGATGCTAAGGATCACTGTGAATGAGGGTAAGACTTGATGAGTGTGTCACAAAGTAAAACGATGTTTTCAAAAATCAGACAATGCCATTRAAAAAGGTGAAATATTAGAAAATCAGGAGTGCAGATCTACTCTCAGCTCTATCACAACCTCAGGCTCTTCAATGCAGACTGCATGTGCACTTCAGGCTCACAACTTCAACACTCAGCTTTTTAAGAAGTCAAGTCTCAACACTGGAATGCTGTAGCCGTATCTTCTTTGCCTCTTTAATTGCAGAAGAGAGGATAAATACCCCTCTCAATCTCACTAGTAGGGCTTCTGGGGAATATCAGTAAGTGATGTTTGGAAAGCAGCTTTTGACTTGAACTCCTTCTCAAATGAATACTCTGATTAAACCAATATCATCTATCAAGGTTCTTACGCTACACCTCTCTGTGGTGGAATCTGAGTACCCACAATTATCTTCCACTGCAGCAAAATATTCAAGGCTTTATTTTACTACTTAGCAAGTACCAAAGAAATCCTTACTCTCACTAGAGCTTCCTTTAACCACTCACAACCCCCTCGCCAATACCTCACTTCCCTTGGAAATGTTCCCATGTTGCTTGCATTTGCAAACCATGTGGTGCCAACAYATGTCAGATCCTGAGGGTGGTCATTTGGCTACATGCCGCTGCTGTCTTATGCTGAACAGCTGGCACGAGGGGATGTGTTTAACTCTAGGGGTCCTCTCTCTGATCCATGCTAAAGTCAAATTCACTCAGTAATGGAGCTAGCTATTTCCTGCCCTAATGGAATGACAGAGCGCTACTGATGGAAAATGAGCCGATGATGTTTTATCTTTTGCCAGCATCCCCCAACAGCCAGAAACATAAATTGAAATGCTTAAGCCAAGCTATATATGATCCCCTTCTTTGAAAAATAAACAGCAATCCTGAACAGGCATTATGGAATCTCAATGGCAGAGTCCTGGGGTGTGATTTGGGGCTTGATTTGTCTTTTCTTGGGTGACAGCCCATCTGGTTATCTTTCCTTTGGCCCATAAACGCTCCTTTGAAAGACTCCCATTCCTACGAAGGCTTAATTTCTCCTTGGAGCCATTGTGGGGAGAAAGCAAATGGATRGCAGGAAGGTACTCAACAGTATTTCGTTGAGAGTGAAAAAGGCCCTTTTCCAAACGAAACAAATACAAATAATCCTGCCTTTACAACAGAGGGTGATTATAGAAAACCCCTTTTCTAAAGCTGCAGGCAGCCAAGACCCCTTCATTTCTCACTCCTGTGCATGGCCAGAAACAAAAGTCCTCATGTAGTCTCTAAATACAGATTGGTCACGCRCTTGCATTATAGGAAATAGCCTTCACTGCAAGAGTTACAGAAAACATAACTGTCCCTGGGAGACAGAGAGGAGGGAACTGTCGTTATCTGAGGGTGGATTTCATTAATGTGGTTGACTGATGAATTGCTTTTGTGAACTACTACTTGCACTGAGGACAAAAGTCTGCTCCACTGAAGACGCAGCTAGCAAATATCTGCCAACCAAACACCCTAAGCAGCAGCAGCAGCAGCAGAACATGGACACTTCCTTAGCCAATTCTTAAAAAAACAGTATAAAAAACCTGTTGGTCTTTATGTATCACAAGCATATTTGACGTATTTAACTTTTTCCAACATTAAGTATATCACCTGTGAGCATGAGTGAGTTACCTGACTTGTCAAACTAAAACACTTACAACTGTGTGTAAAACTTCATGTAATCTAAGAAATGATTTTGGAAATCTTGGCTCAACTTAAACAGCAATATCTTAGTGTAATTAAAAAAGCAAAGCAAACTCCCACACCTTGTCCAAATGGCTATCCATTCTTGTAAAATACTGGAAAGCTAAATGCAATATCAATTCTGCATGTGAACAGAAAAAAGGGAAACATCTAGCAGCAGAAAAAAAATTTATGATCAATGTAGTTTCACTTGTCTCACACAAATGAAAATAAATAGTGAAAAAGCAACCTGGGCATTCTGCATTATTCTTATAGTCCAAGCTCTGTCTTTACATCTCATCTATAATCATAGTTACCTAAGTATTAGCGTAACTGAAATTACTTTTAGTCCATAAATAAATAGAAGTGAAATTAAAATTGGGATTTAAAAAAGAACTATTTTCTTTTGCATCTCTGGTGACTTGTCTGGATAATACTCCTCTAAAATATTTATGTGAAAAAAAAAAAAGCATTTGAAATTCAGATGCACAATTAGCAGCCATCTCTTTCTCAAAGGAACTGATTTAGAAGACACTCTAATATCTGATCTTCCTTTCAGTTAGGCAATCTAAAGGATGTGATGTTCCCTCCAAAGGAACTGTGCACTACAGTTTAGTAAAGAGACTGAATTTTACTGTCACATACCCTTGTGAGACTAAAACTATTAAAATGTACAAAGTTATGGTACCAGAAACARCTATGGGAACAGAAGTGTGCCTACAGTGCATTGCTTTTTGAACTGGAGTAGGAATCTGTGACCTAAAGTCCATTGTGAGAGTGCTTCCTAACATAGTCGTCTAAGGTTACAAGTAGGGAATGTCAAACACATCAGAAATCACCACATGGCTTTCGAGTATAATCTAAGTAAGACAGATATGATGGGTAACATTGCAGAAGATCTCAGAAAATGATCCCTGAGCACAGCGGCCTTGGYATGCTGAAATCATAGAACACAATTAATGATATCAGGGGTATAAAGGTGCCATTTTCATTTCAGAAGTGGGTAGAAAAACTTCTTTGCCCAGTTCATATACAAAATGGAACATCATAATTCAGCTAACGGATATTGAAAAAGTTATGAAAAATCCACAAAGAATGATTCTTAGGCAATTAATTATTCTCCTAAAATAACCTCAGTGTTATTATCCAGACTACATAGAAATCAATTTTAAAACACCCAGCAAAACAAACCTTCCCTATCTTTCCACTGGTTGCTTTTTTGTTTTCTCAGGTATCTCTTTGTTCTTCTATCCTGAAGGGCAAAGAAGGGACTTGCCTGACTGCTCACTCTACACCACCCACCAACTTCATGTAACAATAWATATTCTCATTTACAGACTACATATACTCCTCTTGAAGAAACAAATTATTTCATTCTCAAGAAACAAAATATTTCATTAGTGGCCTTTGAAAAAAATAAGACTTTTTTTCCCTTTCTTTTCAGCTTCTGTATGAAGAAGAGAGATCTAAAGAGCAGGTCTGAATTCCAAGACAGGCTTTGCAACAAGCATGTAAATCATTTCAGATGGTTTTTCAGAACTATCTTTAAAAAAAAAAAAAGAGAACAGTGGGAAGGAGGGAGGGAGAACAAGTGAGTATACACAATGGTAGTACACAACAATTGCTGACTTTCAAAATGCAAAACATAGAGATGGCATCACATCTCATTATTCCTGCTCTGAGTTTTCACTCCAGAATCTAATTTGACTACCTTCGATGTTCTGAATCACAGAAATAAAAAATGAAAATGCTTATGCTGTTATCTAATCCATGCTTTTACTAGAACAGAGCTTTCTTAATACACATCCTCTTTCACAAGGCCAATTTTAAATGAGTCAAATACTTGGCCTAACATTCCTCTCCTTCAGGGACTTCTTCCTAAGAAAACAGTTCTCTGCAGYAGAAAATCTTCCCTGATGAGCAGGAGAGGTAACTTACTGCTGCCATGGAGTTGATGCGGTCAATGTAGTAATCTGGCCAGCTGGTAGCAAGCTTATTAGGATCCTCTTGTTCCTGAAACAAAAAGTTAAACAAGATTACACAAAAAGCCTCACAGGATGAAATGCCTCTGTGGAAACATCTGGGATTCTTCACTACATTATTCTTTATTGCATTATCTTTTCCACTTTTTTTTTTTTTTTTTTTTAAATATATATGTACAGGTTAACTTACTGCTGCCATGGAGTTGATGCGGTCAATGTA